CTCTCCAGAGGTCAACCGGCAAAATTGTATACCGAGACTGTAAACCTTGACAGTACTGTTGACTGATACCGGAGGTCGAAGCCGACAGTACTTTCAAGGTTTACAGTTGAGGTAAACACTTTTGACAGTTGACTGAAAAAAGAATTAGCAAAAAACCATCGAATATGATTTGATTTTTTCAATTTCTTTTATGAAATCTGATTTTAAAATAATTTTTTCAAAAGTAGCGGTCAACAGTACCGAGTAGCGGTCAACAGTACATATTTTTGACCTCTAATTGACCAATCAAAATTGAGTATTTTAACTGAGGTACTAACAATATGTAATGTTGACCGTTTCAAGGTATTGTTGACGGCTATTTGACAGTGATGTGGATCATGGTACAAGCTTTGAATGATAATAGAATGACGCAAGAAAAAGAAAAAGAGTGAGAGAGGGAGTGAGGACATACATGTACCTAGCTAAAAATGGGGAGACTACACTCTGTCCAGGGGTTCAAAAAAGCAAACTGTTTTACCCCAAAAATAAGAAATCAAGACACCATTGTGCAATGATATATAGAAAAATATATTCATATTGCATACAAATGACATTTGTGTAACTTGCATTGCTTGTGAATTGGCTTACAACATCCGTGGCCTCTTATATTTTGATGCTTTTGATGTTATTTCTGAAAAAATATCATGGCTGATAGACTTCAAATTACTTATTGCAATAAAAACTAAATAATGTGAAATATACAAATGTCATTCGTATGTAATATGAATATATTTTTTCAATATTATTGCAATATATAATTATTAGATAAAACTGCATTTGAATTTTTGAACCCCTGGACAGAGTGTAGGTTCAAGGTAATGGGATAGTACCTGGCTGAGAGGGTTTTTCTTCGGGAGACAATGGGATATAGTTGATGTGTCTACTGCACTGTGGATTCACACGAGCTCACAAAAATATTTTCTGGGGGATGGCTACCCCTTTACCCTCCCCTGAGTTATAATGCATCATTTTTTCGAGTTATTGTCATCAAGCATTTTTTATGAAAACTGTATGGATACGCATTACGTACAATATTAGGCCTTCATGCATGTACTCTTGTGAACAATCAGCATGCAATTCAATATTATATAAACACGGTATTACTATACCAGCCTATTCATCAATGTACACTATTTATGTGTGTACTGTACATGGGAATACAACTCCCGGGGAAACAAAACACAAATATTTTTTATATGTTCAAAATGAGCCATTTGATTGATACATACACTAAATAGCTTGCTAAGTAACATCCACAAAGTATATCTAAAAGTAATTTTTAATTTCAATGGTGAAACTTACCTGGTTACGATTATACGGGATATCAACGAGGGACGATGATTCTTCACCTTCCTGGCTTACCTCTGAAACGTGTACTCGGCATTCTCTTTATATAGGTTAGCGAGAACGCTGCGCTTGCGCAGTTTTAAACTCAGGCGGACACTTTAATGGATAGGCGCACGGTATGGTAGAATATGTTAGGTTTTCTGGGATTTTTTCTGAAACGATACGCATCTAAGGTATGAGATCTATTAAAGAAGGCGCAAGGCCATCAACAGGCACAAATCAACGTTTTTGCTATAAATCAAGCAACAATGGTCTGGACGACCTGTAATAAATACTTGTAAGTGATGTTATCATAACTAAATTAATGTCATTGCTGAATTTATAAAATAAGTTTCCATATGTGAAATAAAAAATAATCGAAAAAAATGAATTTGGGACGGAGGGGGCGAGGGGACGGAGGGGGGGGGGGAGCAATATGTATATAAGACATGATTAGAGATGTTTCGCGACTTTAAGTCCTTTTACTCCGAATGTCCCCATTTTTCAGTCTCCAGGGGTATATCATCCAGTTTCTTACTAAGTTAATGAGTTCATTTTTCAAATACAAGAATTCGTGTGAAGTTGTTTCACTTTATAGAATTATTACTCCCCCCCCCTCCGTCCCCTCCCCCCCCCTCCGTCCCATTTTAATTATTTTCGATTATTTTTTATTTTACGTATGGAAACTTATTTTATAAATTCAGCAAAGACATTAATTTAGTTATGATAACATCACTTACAAGTATTTATTACAGGTCGTGTAGTCCATTGTTGCTTGATTTATAGCAAAAACTTTGACTTTTGCACGTTGGTTGCGTTGCGCCTTTTTTAATAGATCTTATATCTTAAAAGAGTATCGGTTGAAAAATAATCCTAGAATACCTAACATATTTTATCATACCGTGCGCTTATTCAATTTGCAATTCAATCGTAAACTCTGTCTTGAAAAAATAATTTTACCAGATTTGTTGAATTTTCTAGCGGAAATTGCCTGCTCCCCCCCCCCCTCCGTCCCATTTTCACGATCACCGGGCGTGAAATGAAGTAAGTCAAAACCAAATAACACGACTAATGAATATTGGTTAACTACGTATTTAGGTAAAGATTTTGTGATGGGTACTATGAATAGGCAGATTTGTAAATACCATTATCAGGGCTGTCAACTTGGGACCACCTAATATGAGTGACTTCAAAATGTTGGACACCTAAGTCCAAATCTGAACACTTTTGTCCAAATTTTGAACACCTTTGGCCAACTTTTAAACACCTTTGGCCAAAGTTTGAGCACCTTTGCCAAACTTTGATCACCTCAAATTTTTCGCGCTCGCTACGCTCGCGGTGTCGTCAACGGGGGGGGGGGGGGGGGGGGGGGGGGGGGGGGGGGGGGGGGGGGGGGGTGGTAGGTACGAAATTTCCAATGAACATGCGTGACATGTACGGGATTCGCGTGACAAATCCGATCAAATTGCGTTCGGTTTTTTTTCCGACGTTCGTATTTTTACCGTATCATAAACATATTTCGAAAAAAATTCTACAGAAATATTTTGGCGTGACAATTACCAGGTAAAATGCGTATTTGCGTGACATTTTCTGTCACGCAAAAAAAACTGGCGTGACTTCAAATTCTTCAGCAAATGCGTGACAAATACGCAAATTGCGGGACAGTTGACAGGCCTGCATTATTTATCTCAAAACTGCCGTTTTCAACGGTTCTAGCTGCATCATGAACTGTTCGCTGAACTCCTCTAATAAACTGCTCAATTCGGCATCCCTAGCAGCAATAAGATCAACGAATAAGAAGATTTAGTGGTTGAATCGAATATTTCGGACTTCTAATCAAAATGGTGGCATTCTTTTGAAAACATGGTTTTCAATGGGTAATTTAAGTCGGGCGAAGTTGAGACTTGAGAAACAATCGCGCGAATAAATTATCACTTTCTATTGGTTGATTATGATCGCCCAACTGTAATATTGTCGCGCGACTAATGAAATAGTCGCGCGATCATTCGCGCGGTTCTGGCGGCGATACCGCGTCATAGAATGTCCCGCAAAATCCCGCGAATTTTTGGCACTGGGTCTAATCTGTCCCGCGAGAAAATCTTTGGGGGTTGACAGTACTGTATGTGGCACATATCAGGGTGTGTGACCTAATCATATAATTTTGAAATTATCGTTAATTTTTTAAATAAGAAACTAGTTAATTAAATAAGAAACTAGTTACGCATTTGTTCAAAAAAGAGTTATAGTAAGAACTTATGTATGAAACCCCTGCATTAAAGCTCATCATGAGTTCTAAACATGAATTAAGTAGAATACATTCATTAACAAATGCAGAACCAAAACACAGAGTGATAAGATCAGATTATTTTAGTGCGTCGTAGTATGAATTTCTCCCAGACCTTTTTCCTATTCAAAGTCTTCCCTTTTTTTGCGTATTTAAACTGGCAAAATGTGAATAAAGTTACTTGGATAGAATTTAGTCTCATGTAAGGTATTCTTTTCTAAATTTATCCAGTATCAGGGACACAGGTACATGTAATTTATGTACGGTGACATTAGTATAACCTTAAAGGAATATTCCTTGCCAAACCATCTCTTTCCTCATGTGGTACTAAAAACCATATATATGCTTGCCATGTTTAGCAAAGCACGCAAAAATGTTTTGATATGGTCAAATTTGATCACTTAGAAATGTGATGCTCAATTCCAGTAAGCTGACATCTTTTAAAATTTCACACAGGAAGTGATGTCATCGACTCTCAACTTTGCATATAGCATTAGGTGAGGAGCTATTAAGAATTACAAAACCAGCTAAATATTCTTTTTCAACTTTGTATCTTATTTAATCCTTCTGAAAATCTCTTCTTTTATTCTAAGTTGACAAGTCCTGAAAATATTTTTGCACAGAAAGTAATGATCACTTGTCTAGAAGTGATTTTGTGCTACTCTCCTATACTGTTATGGGCAAGGTTATAGAAGTTGAGAGTTGATGACATCACTTCCTGCAAGAAATCCTGAGATGGCAGCTCACTGGAAATAAGCACTATGTTTTTAAATGATCAATATTGACCATAATATAACATTTTCCCATGTTTTGCTAAATATGGAAACTATATATATATGATTATAGCTACCATATCAAGAGAGAAAGGGTCTGACAAGGAATATTCCTTTAAAGGCCATCCAGCTTGGATGCTGCCGATGATATGCTCTAATACAATACGCTATATGGCGAACTGCTGGCCCTTATAGTGAACAGTACTGAGAAGCAAAGTATAACTTTCATTTTTGTTGGTGATGATAAGTAATCACAGTAAAAAGTGGCAATTAGGAGATAAGTCGATGTCTGATTTTCTGTACTAATTTTTGGATATGGGAAATTCAGTCTATTGGACTATAGCCTCTACAGACTAGATAAAGTGTGGGAAAGAAATTTCTTGAAAAAATAACAAAGATAAATGGATACGAGGTAAAAACTAGAGTTTCTAAAATATAATCAAGGACGGGAGTGAACTTTCTGGTAAATGGGACGACGAGTCTTTACCGTGCATGAATTGTAAATGTAATACATCAAAATGCGAACGAAGTTTCACTTTAAAACTTAGGCGTTCGTATAATTGACGAATTCCATTAGCAGCGCCACCTGGCAAAAGTAATGCCTGTAAAAACTTTAAACATTCTCTCCGGATAAACACTTTGTTAACTGTATCTGGTGAGTATATTTCGTTATTTTTATGTTGCTCTACTCTTAGAAATATTGTTTAGGATAATTATTTATCAATTCAAGTTCATGCAAAATTTGAGTAGGTCGATGCGGAGGTTGTTGAAATTTTTCTGCAAGAGGGATGGAATGCGGAAGCAACAACAATAAGTTAACAATTATAAATGTACAATAAAACATAAGTGAGAGGGATAACTACGAGTTTGTTGGAACTGTACATTTTCAGGTCGCAATATATTGTCCGACAAGAGGCCCAGGCTACAGTGAAATTTAAGGTACAGCTGGAAAGTAACATTTTGGTAAAAAATTGCTATAGATCTACCTGCACATGTTATTTTCTGGTACAAAATAAAGTATGAAGGCATGTATCAATTTCCTTGCTTTTTTCAGGAAAGTATCATTACATTGTCTTCTTTTAGAATATCTGGTAGGCGTTCAAAGGGAACTCCAGGGAATTCTGATATTTCACACTTCCTGTTTTTCCAAATTTTCTTTCAAAGTTTCCAGACAACACAGGAGCTACCATTGACCTGTTTCCAGGTTTACTAAAAGTAGACAGTGTAATGATACTTTCCTGAAAAAAGCAAGGAAATACACACATGCCTTCATACAGGGTGACCGGAAAAAAAGGAGACCATTGAAGTAATCAATTTCTCCTAAACTAGACAAGTGCCATCAATGAAATTTTGCATACACTGGAACAGTTATATGGAAATTTGTTACTGAAGGTTTCAATACAAGCATTCAACTGGTTCAGGAGCTATGATCATTTACATAACATGCTCCAAATAGGCACAATTGAGACCAACGCAGAGTTGGATTCATATGGCAAACTACCCTTACATGTTCTGCCCTCTATGGCATTATTATGGCATTACATATAGCAGTGATTGCCTTCTTAAGGTCAACAATAGTCTGAGGATTGTTTTGGTATAGATTGTCTTTCAAATATCCATACAAAAAGAAATCAGCAGGATTCAAGTCTAGGCTGTAATGGCAATGAAGGGTTATCTGACATGTGGTTCATCATCCTGTTGCCAAAGTGCTGATTTACCAAATCTTAAGAGTCACTTTAGGTATTGGGCATAGTGCCATGTTACTAAAACCACTATATGGCACAATTAAATCCCATATGAAAACCAAGGGCTGCCCAAAACCTCCTTAGGATGATACTGTAACTGAGTGGGACCACTGAGTCAGAAGCCATAGGTCAGATAAGCTTCGTCTCCATACACCTCAAATTTGAATCCACCTGATTTCTTTTTGTGGGGCAATTTGAAAGACAATGTGTACCAAAACAATCCTGAGACAATTGCTGACCTAAAGGTGGCAATAAATGCTAAATGTAATGCCATAACAAGGTCGGAATATGTAAGGGTATTTGCCAAATGTATCCAGCTCTGCGTTGGTCTCAATTGCGCCTATTTGGAGCATGTTATGTAAATGATCATAGCTCCTGAACCAGTTGACTGCTTGTATTGACACTTTCAGGAACAAATTTCCATAGAACTGTCCTGATGTATGCAAAATTTCATTGATGTCACTAGTCTATTTTAGGAGATATTGCCTATTTCAATGGTCTCCTTTTTTTCCGGTCACCCTGTACTTAATTATGTACCAGAAAATAACATGTGCAGGTATAGCAATTTTTTACCAAAATGTTACTTTCCAGCTAGGTTCAGCTGGAAAGTAACATTTTGGTAAAATATTGCTACAGTGCTGATATATAATAATAAAGGGTGCGTTTTCAAACTAAACAGAGTGCTCCTACCAAAATAAATTTGCCTACATACCCCTGAGACTCTTAATCTGATAGATAGAATGCACAAATAAAACAAAAGTTTTGCTATCTAGTTGAAAGCCCATGTTATAGGTAAAAAGTTCTCTTGAAATTTTGAAGTGATTTTACCTGTTAATTCTGTCCATGGTCCGCCATTTTTGCGGAAGTTACACTGAAGCACAAACTCCATGAAATGAAACGAAATCACTTGAAAAACATGGTACACATTGTGCGCATGTGCAGCAAAGTTTAAACCAATCAGATTATTTGATTATTTTGCGCACATGAATTATTTTCTTCTGAGCACTTACAAGCTTACCACAATAAACAAACCTGGCAGAGACTACCCTTAGCCTACTTCATTTTGGCGAAATTTCAGCTCAAACTCGTGACAAGTGCACTATGTATACACTGGTGTGAAGCCTTGGAGACACTCATTTTGGTAAATATGATTTATGGCGTATACTTTTCTGCAGTTTGTGGGAGTTTGGGACATTAAATGTTAAAATTCAAGAAAATATGCCAATTAAACGACTTATCAATTAATATATACCAGCACTATATACCTGCACATGTTATTTTCTGGTACATAATTAAGTATGAAAGCATTGTGTGTATTTCCTTGCAGGAAAGTATCATTACACTGTCTACTTTTAGTAAACCTGGAAACAGGTCAATGGTAGCTCCTGTGTTGTCTGGAAACTTTGAGAAGAATTTGGAAAAATGAAAGTGTGAAATATCAGAATTTCCTGGAGTTACCATTGAACTCCTACCAGATATTCTAAAAGAACACACTGTAATGATACTTTCCTGAAAAACGCAAGAAAATTGACACATGCCTTCATACCTTATTTTGCACCAGAAAATAACATGTGCCGGTATAGCAATTTTTTACCAAAATGGTATTTTCCAGAGGCCGTGGCTTAAGGGCCTTAAATTTTAAAGGCTCTTTAGCATTTTAATAACCCATTTGGCTTAAGAGCCTTAAGTTTTATTTATTTCATTTTGATAGCTTATTTTGCAAGTGAGCCTGAAAGAGGTTTTATGCCATAGGATAGCATAATCAAGACCCAGGCCTGTCAACTGTCCCGCATTTTGCGTATTTGTCACGCATTTGCTGAAGAATTTGAAGTCACGCCAGTTATTTTTGCGTGACAGAAAATGTCACGCAAATACGCATTTTACCTGATAATTGTCAAGCAAAAATATTTCTGCAGAAAAATTTCTAAAAAAGATCGACTACACAGCAAAAATACGAACGCCGGAAAAAAATGTACGCATTTCGTTCTGACTTTTCACGCGAATTATGTATATGTCACGCATTCCGTTCGAAAATTTTCGGAGGTGTTCAACATTTCCAAGTCACTCATGTTAGGTGTTCCCAAGTTGACAGGCCGGAGACCCCTTTGGACTTTTTCCTTATTGAGTTTCACCACATATTCACCCATCTACTTACCAAAGCAGAAGTCCCAAATCTCTCTCTTTCAGTGCAAATTTTACGATTATGCTGGCTAGTCTAATTATTTTCGCTGAAATTAATTCAATCTGAAGTTTGAATATATTGGGAAAGTCCTCCTGTTATTTTTACCATTCTGTCCTCTATAAATCACAATGTCCATTTAGTAAAGATTTTGATGTATAGAAAAGGCCTTCGGGGATAAAGGTGTGGGGGTCACATTTATTGATGGATCGGAGGCTAGGATAAAAAACGTTGGTTCAAATGAAGGATTTTTTAGGAAGACGTTTTTGCAAAAAATTATGAAAAAATATCTTGTCAAGTGAAAAATTCTAAAAAATAGCGTTGAAATCTAATTGTCAATAGATTTGGAAGTGTATTCTGTGATGTCCCCGGGCTGATGTTCCTGCATTCACGATAAACTGCGTCAAGATGTGCTGTATCTAGAATAAACAAGATCCTTTTCATAGCCCTTCGGAGAATCTTAGGTGAAGGGGTACATTTATTGATAATTTGGAGGCTAGCCTAAAAAATGTGCTGTACACTCCCCTCCATAAGTTTGGCAGCCTTAACTCCCCCATTGAACGACTTGTAAAAGCCTCTTTACCATTGAATTTTATTACTTAACCAGCGATTCAATACCTCCAAATCACACAAAGGTGATTCTATATTAGTGACGTCACTAACATGTTACCTAACCAACAACAAAACTAGCATGAATGCATTGTCTTTTTCTGTGGTATTTTCATAGTAGATCAGTTTAAATGTCAACACATGATGTAGCCTTCATGTCTTTCTAGTGACATATTCACTGGATTATCTTGTTTCTAAATTTGGCTTAAATAGCATATAAATTCTTAGGTATCACTGTTAACAGAGGTATTTTTAATTGCCCAAGTCCATATTTAGCATCGAGAGAGATAAGTCCTATAATAAGCAAAATGCACTATCATTTCTCTCATAAAAATGCCTCGTTGATAACGCTGCTTGACTTTAGAGTACTTTAGTTACATGAGTAAAACTGATAAACAAAACCAATATATAGTACTTATCATCAAATAATTTGATGCAATTGATCTAAATATACAAGCATAGTGCCAATGAGATTAAGAATCGATTATGTGTATATTAAAAAATAGATAGATTGGAACAAGTACTAACTAGTGGTTATGAGGAATCAAACCCCAGCATCCCAATTTCCCAAACAATATACACTGACTTGTACTCAAGCAAAGGTGTAGAAATTATTATTTAAAGATAATATATAATCCAACGTACAGCCTATTTGCTTGGTTCCATTATTCAAACCATGTAATGATGATAGAGGGCTTGGGGGGGGGGGCTTGGGGGAGGGGGTAAATAGAACACCAACATTAAGTTGGGAGTACCATTTTTGATAGCATCAACCTTCTTGATATTTTATGTATGATGAAGAACATTGTCAACAAAATATTTATAAGTGACACTTGACTTTGACACTTGCCATTAATAGACTCATAGATAAACTAAATATGTGTACATTATGTCAAATACAATCTGATACAACACTGCTAACATTGAAATAAATGTATTAACAAAATTAACATACCGTATTCTCTCTAATGAGCACACAGGTCCGTTTTTCTAAATTTTTTGTATGTGCGCTTATTGGAATCTCTCAATATCCTACCCTTTCACGTTTAAATTTGCAAACCGCACTATGCACTCATTAGAGAGGTTACAATAATATTACAATGTTTTTGATTGTTTAATTTTTTTTCTATTTGCAGATTGTGATGCTACATGTAGGTGATGCATCATGAATTGTATCACATACGTCACAGACCTACTCAAACCAGAGTTCTTCTCATACTTCGGTTATGCTCTGAACATTTTTCTCACTGTGAGGCTGGGAATCGTCGCATACGCTAACTCACAGGTGTTCACGGGTCAACACAGTCATTTTATCTGCTATCCAAACAGTTCCGTCAAGGGTATAGACCTACAACGAGTCAATCAAAGATGTCACGATAAGTTCTTCGCGACGTTACCTCCATACTTTCTTTGGTACATACAGCTGGTGACTTTATCCGTTGTGCTTTTGTTTTATTTCTCAATAGCATGGTGGAAGCTGCGGATTAATAAACACTCGCTGGATTTACCAGTTCAGGATGTGAAGCAGCGGCGCTCTAAGTTGATAGTCACCCGGATGTACCTCGGACAGACTATCCTCCGTATAATCATCGAATTTGCATTCATCATTACTCAGTCATCCATATATGGATTTCACATTCCGAGTGAATACACATGTCAATTAGAAGAGCGAGTTGTGCTGAATGTAGCCGTGCACTACAAATGTGATGTGCTGAAAGCAAAAGAGAAGGCCTCTTTCCTAATAGTAGTGCTAGTGTGTACAGTTCTGGCACTAGTGGTGCATGTATGTGACCTGATAAGGACTGTTCTAAAAATCTCAAAAGGAGAAGAGAAGTCCTTATTCCCAGCACTCAGGGAGGAAGGTATTTTGTCATTTTTTATTTTCTTAAATCCATTGATAATATGTTTTCTCGTGATTGCATTTTTCATTACTGTGTGATCCATGCAATTTTACACCACAGGTTTAACTTATGTTCATCTGGTAATTTGCATACTGTAATTCTGTATCTAGGGAAATGATGAAAAATTGGCACATATGGTCGGATGGATGATCCGATGGGTGTTATAAGTTATAAGTGTATCCCTTTTGAAAAAAGAGAAATCCTGAAAAGTAGCATGTTTTTCTTTACTTCAGTCTTTATGAAAATTTATAATACAGCCTTTTGAAAATAAGAAAAACCCTGAAAAATTGTAATGTGTTTGGCCAATCGGTGCAGCCTTTCAAAAATGAGAAAAATCCTAAAAATAGCAGTATTTTTTCCTACTTTAGTCCTAGGGGAAAAGGGTATTATGTAACATTCTGAAGTGAGAAGGATCCTGAAAAATTGTCTTAAATCTGTTTTGCCACCTAGCATATATGCTGTTTGCCTTTGTGACCAAGAGAATTAGGCAGCCTTTTTAAAATGTGAAAAATTGAACAGCTTTACTGTAAGTTTTGCAAAACAGAAAATAGTGCAATCTTTTGAAAATAATCTATTTATTTGCAGAATACATCAAGCCAGTCTGGGTGCGGCCACCTGATCCAGTTGATGAAGTATTTGAGTGTGAAAATGTCTCAAAGTTGCAAGAGAAACTTGAATCGCAAAACCTTATAGCCTTAACCGGTAAGTGAATGTCTGACTACGAATGAATACGAATATTGATAGTATTCTTTAGATATTTTATTTCATGCATTTAAGTAAAATACTCACTTATATATGATGAACTGTGGGTTCAAAGTATGTTTTCACTTCTCATTTTTGTGATTTTTGACATTTGTGGTGTCTTCCAATGCCAAAAGATATGATTTCCTTAAAATGTTTTATCAGAAGGCAAATTTTTCAAAAATTATAAATTCAAGGGAATTTTTCAAAAATTAAGGCTAAGATGTTATTGGTCAAATTTTCAAACTGTTGAATTTACAAAAGTGAAGAGCATTTCAAATTAATAAAAGCATACAGCAAATCGAAGATCTCTTCACTTTCTGTCCTATAGGTTCATGCGGAAATATTGCTCTGCTAAAACTAAAATACAAACGTCAGTTGAAAAGTTTTTGGATGAGGGAGGTGTTTGGATATATAGGTTTTACTACACGGCATAAATTAATCAAAAGATAATTTACTCTCAATAATTCTGAACGTAAGCTATCACAATAGACTAGATGCAAGAAGAAATAATCTTGAAATGCGTCACTAAAAATTCAGCCAAAGTTATATCATGTTCAAAATCTATATGTTAAATTGCATCTTGGAATGTGGTTTTAAAAAGTGTTCATCAACTTGAAATTTTAATTTTCTTTGAAAATGTGACTTCTAGGTCGAGGAGATTCCCTATTGACGATGTTCACAAAATATATATATATACAATATTTGGCAGATAATATTTTCTTTTATCATATGATCTGTAAAATGAAGCCCTCTGATTGGTCAGTTCTTGTGCTGTACCAATCTGTATTGCCACTGAGATTGTCCCCGTTCAACATCTCCGTCGCAATACAGAAAATATTGGTACAGAGGGGACAATCTCAGTAGCAATACAGAGGATCACACGATAAAAACGTTATTGAATGATTTGAAGTGCAAAACAGGATATATTCTGTCTCGATATTCTGTATTGGCACTCAGCTTTGTCTCGTTCCAATACAAAATTTCTGGAGCAGAATACATCCTGTATTGCACTTCAAATCATTCAATAACTTATAGTACTGGACATTTTTTTTTAATTTGTATTTGATAAATAAGGGTAATATGAAAATTGAACCACTGAAACTGATGAATATTCAAGTTAAGGAAACTTTCTAATATCCTGCCATGTTATTTATCCATAATAAGCCACCTGGTGGTGAAAAATGGTAAATACCCACTCACATCTAGGTAATTTAACAATATATGTTTACCCTCAAAATTTCATGTCATGTCTATTTTCTACAATGTTCAACAGTGATTATTTCAATATCATTATTCACCTTTTCATATCTGGCAACAAAACTCTAGTTCTCTTTTCTTGACTTTTGAAATTTTTTACACTTTCACAGTGGGTCAATGTCACCTGTCAACTTTTGACATTCTGATCCAAATCTAATTCCTTGAACATACATATTATCATGAACATCCTGCAAATCATATTATTTTCAGGACCTTTTGGTTCAGGAGAACACAGCTAAGTTGTTTTTGTATGATTTGCAGGACTTCCTGAACCTGCTTCTTGTTGTCTTTATTTTGATTGCAAGACCCCTAGGTTCAGGGAAAAGACATACAGCTAACTTGTTGTTTGTATGTATTGCAGGACCCCCAGGTTCTGGAAAGACCCAACTGGCTCTTCATTACGTCAGAGAGTTCTCCAAGCGCAACAATAACAGCATATGCTTCACTTTCAACTCTGTCTCTCCCGATTCAATCATAGTGGACGGCAAACTGTTCCTCAGCCAGTTTAAGTTGAACATTGAGATACTCGACAATGGACACCTGGTTGAGACAGCCAAGGGACTTTTGCGGAGTATTGCCGAGGAGCTCATGCAATATAGTAATATTGTAAATGTGTTCTTATTTGAAGACGCGACTTTTGAAACTGCATCCCTCGTAAGAGATGTGTTCAACGATAACCAAAGCTTTATAGTGATTATTACTTCAAACGCACGTTTGTTTGATAATGAGAATTTGAAGATGGAAGTCAATGGCTATACCGCTGACGATGTTATGAACTTGGCGATGTCTGATCGATATAAAGATCGGTTTACTGACGATGACATGCTCCGATTGGCTGAAAAACTTGATTTTTCTCCATTAGGAATACACGCAGGCTGTGAATATATTATAAGTATTGAAGGTACGATAAATGATTACATCGCACTCTTAAATAGTTTCACGTTCCCGACTGTATCTGACCTTGAAGAAGAGATAGTCCATAACCGAGGCTATAAAAAGACATTACTGCAGTTAGTAATGGAATCGTACTGTGAGCTATCCCGCGTTTGCAAAGATGACATCATAGTCTATATGCTGAATATTGTTGCCACTCTTGGCTCTGATCCAATACCATTCGGACTCCTTGATTGGATAATAAGAGAAAAAGAAGGCCCCTTGCACTCACATATTATGGACCAAAAGAAAATCCATTTGGTGGAACTGGTCAAGCGATTCCACCTTGGTACCATGGTGACGGATTCAAACAAACACAAGATGATAAAACTCCACAATCTAGCCAGGGTTGCCATAGTGATAAGCTGGCCTGAAGAAGACAAGAAAAAGCTATTCCACGACATGCTGTTGATCCTCGATGACCAGTTTGATAAAGACATGCGGAACATGCATGACTTCCAGTTTATTCTGGAACTACTCCCGCATGTAAACAATGCACTATATGGAGAACTCCTCCCCAAGGCTATGTTATATGACATCCGGATCCGTGTTTTACAAATCCGCCTCTTGGACGTCTTAAACCATTTACACACACAGACAGGATTAACCAAGATCTTCAAAGAGGAAAACTATTCAAAAGCAAAACAACAGTTTTACTCATTGATAAACAACAATGTCGATCCGGTCTTAGCAGAACCTAGGTTAAATCAGCAGGTTGAGGAAATATTGACGGCAGAATCTCAGAGGTGGGAGAATATTACATGTGAGGAGTTTGTTAAGACGAAGGCACGGATTGTTTATGAAAGTGTCACCAAAATTGACGTACCAGAAGACCTGGTTGTTAACCTTGTATGCACGAGACGTCTCAATAACGATGATATCAAGGTACAAAAGATTTAAATATTTTTTTATAATATTAAATATGTAATCACCAGAAGTCGTAACATAATATTATTGTCCCCATTTTTTTTGTGGATGGTTTTCGGCATTTGGTGTTTGGTGTCTTTAACAATGGCAGGTTGTGACATTTTGCGTAATGCCTCGTGTTAATCTTTCATGGGGACGTATTTTAATGACAATCATTTTTCGTGATTAACATTCAATTTGTACATTTGCTACAATATTACTGTTAAACTGCAGTTTTTTAAGAATTAAACAAATTAAAACTGCTATTTGTATTGAGTCAAATCCTCATTCATTTTATGCAAATCCATGATATATTATTTGTACTGATGCCCTTTTAGGGCCAAACCTACATCCAACATACAATTTTCAGTAAAAATAGCAATAAAGCATCGAAAATAGGATTACATTCTTCAAATGACATATATAAGGGTTATGTACTGGGAGGTTTTGGATACAGGATTTATTCCAAGGGAGATACACATATTTCCCGCGGGATAAATCCTGTATTCAAAACCGACCGTACATAACAGATGTATTTCATACCTACTGAGGTTTTAGGTTACAGGCTGTATCCATCCCGCCCCGCTCCTCAGTGATATATCCCTAGATACAGTATATATTCCCGCTCGTTATTTACCTAGAACCTTAGTAGGTATGGAATACAAAATGTTACTTTGATATATGAATCCTTTCTCTACCAATCATTAGATAATTGATTATGTCAGGTCAGGAGACTCTTTTAATATGTTCCCCTCAATTGTCAATAGGAAAATTAAAAAAGTCATAATGTTTATTTGACCTGTCATTGTCATTTCCAAAGTTTGCCCAGTTTCTTGGAAATTACTGATTTCTACATCAAAAAGTCAAATTTTCTTTAAATGCCCGACAATTTGTTTAAGTAGAACTTTCAAATAAGCTGAAGTACTTGCTGTACGTGGAACATATGTCCTCTGAAGATTTCAAATCTCTTGGAATTACAGTTTTTCGTGTTTACTCTATAACATTTGACAAAAAGTAGGACCTCGTTATTTTCATTTTCAGGCACTTTTTCAAGAAGTAAAAAGTCAGTGGCAGGTTTTGTGATTGACAAGTTTCTCAAAGTTTGTCCTTATTCTTAATTAGACTCCAGATGAAAATCTGGAGTCTATTGCTTTTGCCAGTTTTCTTTATTATTATTAGACTCCAGATGAAAATCTGGAGTCTATTGCTTTCGTCAGTTTTCTTTATTATTATTATTATTATTATTATTCTTTCAGAATCTTCCTCCTTCCCAGATTTCTCACCAACTAAAAGAATTTACTTTAAGCTGCTTACATGATCAACTAGGGGTAGTACCTGGGATGATGGGAAACTAGGTCAAATTTTTATCTAGGTCAAGGGTCAAGAACTAGGTCAAATAAAGGTCAAATCAACATTCTGTCAATTATCTTCGTTGTTGTTTGTCGTAACTACTTCATCTAAGTTTCTACATGTAGCTTAGAAAAAAACAAATCGAGAGTGTGCCATCCGTTTTTTGATTACTCTTAGCGATTTTGAGATACGGCGTCCTGAAAGTAGGTCAAAACCAAAAAGTTCTCCAAATTTAACACATGAGCTATGAAATAAGGGTAGAATTTTCTCAGGAATCCGAATCTGCAAACCAAATTTTGATCCGACTTCCCGTTCGGAAGTTATGGCGTTTTGAAAGCTCAAAAATCGCTAAATTTGGTGCCCATGTTAAGTCAATGGGAAAAAAGATTTTTTGAAGTGAAAAATACGAAATATAGACTGAGTTCAGCTAAATATAATGAAAGCTTTAAAAAGAAGGGGACCTCATAAGCCATCTAGCTTCAAAATTTGGACACCAAAATGCCTACGTCAAAATCTAGGTCAAATTCAAAGTTTTTCCTTATTTTTGCGATTCTGACACAACAGATGAATTATATTCTTCGAAATTTTGTATACATGTAGCTAAGAGTCTGCTGATAGTGTTAGCCTTTTGCCGTCAGAAAGTATTTTGCCCCATTTTTGAGATATGGTGTCCGAAAAGTAGGTCAAAATAAAAAAATCTCAAAATTTGACGTTTGAGTTATGAATTAAGTATAGAATTTTCTCAGGGATCCGAATCTGCAAACCAAATTTCGATCCGACTTCCGGTTTGGAAGTTATGGCGTGTCCGAAAAGTAGGTCAAAATGAAAAGTTTCCAAATTTAACGTATGAGCTATGAATTAAGGATAGAATTTTCTCTGGAATCCAAATCTGCAAACCAAATTTCGATCCGACTTCCGGTTCGGAAGTTATGGCGTTTTGAAAGCTCAAAAATCGCTAAATTTGGTGCCCCATGTTATGTCAATGGGAAAAAATATTTTTTTGAAGTGTAAAATACGAGATATAGACTAAGTACAGCTAAACATAATGGAAGCCCATAAAAGAAGGGGACCTCAAAACCTTCTAATTTTGAAAATTTGGACAACAAAATGCCTAGGTCAAAATCTAGGTCAAATTCAAAGCTTTTCCTTATTTTTGAGATTCTGACACTACACTTTAATTATATTCTTCGAAATTAAGTATACATGTAGCCAAGAGTGTGCTAATAGTGTTAGCCTTTTGCCGTCAAAAAGTATTTTGACCCACTTTTGAGATATGGTGTCCCAAAAGTAGGTCAAAATAAAAAATCTTCAAATGTAACGTATGAGTTATGAATAAGGGGTAGAATTTTATCAGGAATCCGAATCTGCAAATCAAATTTTGATTCGACCTCCTGTTCGGAAGTTATGGTGTTTTGAAAGCTCAAAAATCGCTAAATTTGCTGCCCCATGTTATGTCAATGGGAAAAAAGATTTTTTTGAAGTGTAAAATACGAGATATAGACTGAGTACAGCTTAATATAATGAAAGCCTATTAAAGAAGGGGACCTCGAAGGCTACTTAGCTCCAAAATTTGGACACCAAAATGCCTATGTCAAAATCTAGGTCAAATTTATAGTTTTCCCTTATTTTTGCGATTCTGACACTATATTTAAATGATTTGCTTTAAAATTTTGTATACAGGTAGCAAAGAGTATGCTAATAGTGTTAGCGTTTTGCCGTCAGAAAGTATTTGACCCACTTTTGAGATATGGTGTCCGAAAAGTAGGCCAAAGTTAAAAGTTTTCCAAATTTAACGTATGAGTTATGAATTAAGGGTAGAATTTTCTCAGAAATCTAGATCTGCAAACAAAATTTCGATCCGACTACTTGTTTTGAAGTTATGGCGTTTTGAAATCTCAAAAATCGCTAAATTTGGTGCCCCATGTTAAATCAATGGGACCGAATAATTTTTTGAAGTATAAAAATACGAGATATAGAATGAGTACAGCTAAACATAATGAAAGCCCATAGAAGAAGGGGACCTCAAAAGCTACTTTCCTTCAAAGTTTGGACACCAAAATACCTAGTTCAAAATCTAGGTCAAATTCATAGTTTTTTTTATTTTGCGATTCTGACACTACACTTCAATGATATTCTTCGTAAACTTGTAAACTTGTAGCAAAGAGTGTGCTAATAATGTTAACATTTTGCCGTCAATAAGTTTTTTGACCCACTTTTGAGATATGGTGTCCGAAATGTAGGTCAAAATAAAAAGTTCTCCAATTTTAAAGTATGAGTTATGAATTAGGGGTAGAATTTCCTCAGGAATCTGGATCTGAAATTAAAATTGCAATCCGACCCCCGGATTAGATTCTACGCCATTTTGAAGTTTGAAATTCGCACTTGCCAGTATTCACGATGCAGATTGATCAAATATACTTTCAAAAATTCCTGCATACCCTACTTTACCTCTCTACCTACTCAGCTACTTATTTGACTACTTACTTAGTTATTACTTCCTTATCAACTTACTCAGCTACTAACTCAGGTACTTACTCAGCTACTTACTCAGCTACCTATTCAGCTTTTTACTCAGTTACTTACTCAGCTACTTACTCAACTACTACTAAGGTACTTACTCAGCTAATTACTCAGTTACTTACTCAGCTCTTTACTGATCTATCTAGGTCAAATAAATCTGGAGTCTTAAATTGAACTTGTTCAATTTCAAAAATCTAGTTATTATTATTATTCTTCTTCTTCTTCCTCCTTCCCAGATTTCTCACCAACTAGAAGAGCTTACTTTAAGCTGCTTACATGATTAACTAGGGAATGTATCTGGCTTTCTGGGAAATTAGGTCAAATTTTTATCTAGGTCAAAGGTCAAGAACTAGGTCAAATCCAGTACTTTGTCACTTTTTCCCATTATCTCGGTCGTCCTTCAATATTTTTGATCCTGTTTTTTTTCATTGTGTTCCTCATAAAAAAGTAGAAAACCTAGGGTCGATTTAGTTTTTTGGTATCTCAAACCGATTTCGAGATATCAGTGTCCGAAAACGAGGTCCAAAAAAAATTTCACCGAATCCAATGTCCAGGATATTAGTCTTATGGGAAATTTTCTCAGGATTCCGAATCTGAAAACCAAATTTCGATCTGACTTCCGGTTCAGAAGTTATGGCGTTTTGAAAATTCAAAAATCGCTAAATTTGGTGCCCCATGTTAATTCAATGGGAAAAAATATTTTTTTGAAGTGTAAAATACGAGATATAGACTAAGCACAGCTAAACATAATGGAAGCCCATAAAAGAAAGGGACCACAAGACCTTCTTTTCATAAAAATTTGGACACCAAAATGCCTAGGTCAAAATCTAGGTCAAATTCAAAGTTTTTCCTTATTTTTGCGATTCTGACACTACAGATTAATTATATTCTTCGAAAATTTGTGTACATGTAGCCAAGAGTGTGCTAATAGTGTTAGCCTTTTGCCGTCAGGAAGTATTTTGACCCACTTTTGAGATATGGTGTCCGAAAAGTAGGTCAAACTAAAAAGTTCTCCAAATTTAACGTATGAGTTATGAATTAAGGGTAGAATTTTCTCAGGAATCCAAATCTGCAAACCAAATTTCAATCCGGCTTTTGGTTTGGAATTTATGTCGTTTTGATAGCTCAAAAATCGCTAAATTTGGTGCCCCATGTTATGGCAATGGGAAAAAAGATTTTTTTGAAGTGTAAAATACAAGATATAGACTGAGTACAGCTTAATTTAATGAAAGCCTATTAAAGAAGGGGACCTCGAAGGCTACTTAGCTCCAAAATTTGGACACCAAAATGCCTAGGTCAAAATCTAGGTCAAATTTATAGTTTTCCCTTATTTTTGCGATTCTGACACTATATTTAAATGATTTGCTTTAAAATTTTGTATACAGGTAGCAAAGAGTATGCTATAGTGTTAGCGTTTTGTCGTCAGAAAGTATTTTGACCCACTTTTGAGATATGGTGTCCAAAAAGTAGGCCAAAGTAAAAAGTTTTCCAAAATTAACGTATGAGTTATGAATTAAGGGTAGAATTTTCTCAGAAATCTAGATCTGCAAACCAAATTTCGATCCGACTACTTGTTCTGAAGTTATGGCGTTTTGAGATCTCAAAAATCGCTAAATTTGGTGCCCCATGTTAAATCAATGGGACCGAATAATTTTTTGAAGTGTAAAAATACGAGATATAGAATGAGTACAGCTAAACATAATGAAAGCCCATAGAAGAAGGGGACCTCAAAAGCTACTTTCCTTCAAAGTTTGGACACCAAAATACCTAGTTTAAAAAATCTAGGTCAAATTCATAGTTTTTTCTTATTTTGCGATTCTGACACTACACTTCAATGATATTCTCCGAAATTTTGTATACTTGTAGCAAAAATTGCAATCCGACCCCAGGTTTAGATTCTACGCCATTTTGAAGTTTGAAATTCGCACTTGCCAGTATTCACGATGCAGATTGATCAAATATACTTTAAAAAATTCCTGCATACCCTACTTTACCTCTCTACCTACTCAGCTACTTATTTGACTACTTACTCAATTACTTAATTAGTTATTACTTACTTAGCAACTTACTCAGCTACTAACTCAGGTACTTACTCAGCTACTTACTCAGCTACCTACTCAGCTTTTTACTCAGTTACTTACTCAGCTCTTTACTGATCTATCTAGGTAAAATAAATCTGGAGTCTTAAATTGAACTTGTTCAATTTCACAAATCTAGTTATTTCTTGCCATGAATTAGATTTAAACCAGATTTAAGCATTGTCTACAAATTGCTCAATATTTTTTTTATTTATTTGCCAAACACTTTTCAAACAGTGGCACAATGGAAAAATTCCAGTGCGCAGTACAAACAACAAATACATATACATAAAATACAATTGCATATACCGGTAGATAAAATAATATGTTAAATTGTACACATGTTATGAGTTTAAAATATTGTTATTAATAGTCACTAAAAATTGTTTGACAGACTTGACAAATAAGAAACATTGGTCTTTGCTCCAAATACTAAAAACAACAACCTAGATGTAAGTGTTTAAACATATTAAATACATCAGGTGAACATGAGGTTTTGGTCCTGTGGTAAATTGATTTCTTTCACAAAAGATTTTGAATTAATCTCTGTCCAACAATATCATAACTTGAAGAAAAATAAGTCTCCGGTCTAGAAATGGGGTTTGTTTAATTAATTCATTAAATATATATAATATATTCTGCTCTCGATATTCTGTATTGGCACTCGACTTTGTCTCATTCCAATACAGATTTTCTCGAGCAGAATATATCCTGTATTGCACTTCAAATCATTCAATAACTTATAATGTACATGCACTACAATATTTACTTTAATATCACATTTATATGTACATGTTCTACAGTATTTACTTTAACATCACATTAATATGTTCATGTAGTACAGTAATTACTTTAACATCATATTAATATGTGCATGTACTACAGTATTTACTTTAATATCACATTTATATGTACATGTACTACAGTATTTACTTTAACATCACATTAATATGTTCATGTAGTACAGTAATTACTTTAAAATCAGATTGATATATACATTTACTGTACAGTATTTACTTTAATATCACATTACTAATTGCAGCTACTATATGACTACTTTCTTAGCATCAAAGCATAATTATATTAATTAATATACTTCAATATCACATGATTATGCACATTTACTTCAATATCATATTAATATGTATGTTTACTTCAATGTCATATTAATAAGTACATCTACTTCAATATCACATTAATATGTATGTTTACTTCAATGTCATATTAATAAGTACATTTGCTTCAATATCACATTAATATGTATGTTTACTTCAATATCATATTAATATGTACATCTACTTCAATATCACATTAATATGAACATTTTCTTCAATATCATATTAATAAGTACATATACTTCAATATCATATTAATAAGGACATTTACATCAATAATATCCCATTAATATTTGTAGATGTAATACATTTACTTGAGTGTCCCATTAATATGAAGAAAAATACTTAAATATATTACATTAATATGTAATACATTTAATACTTGAATATCACATTAATATGTAAAACATTTACTTGAATATCACATTAATATGTGTGAATGTAATACATTTACTTGAATATCACATAAACATGCACTATACTATTGTTGTAGTAATTAGTATTGTTATAGTATCTATTGTTGTCATTTTCAGGTATTACAGATGAGGATGGATGACCGTGGACATCCAAATGTCTTCATACCTGATGGACACCTAACGATCGAATGGTACGATAAACTTGTTGAAAATGATGCTGCGGTAAGTGTGGAATCCATCAAAAAAGTGTTCCTCTTAGAGTTTATGCTGACGATACTATATACGCATGGTCGGATGTACTTCTACCAGAAAAACCAGGATGAGGTAGATGAAGATGCGAAACAAGTGTTTGAACATGATTTGAGACTTGCCTTTGAACTTGGTAATATTATAAAAGAAAAGATAGGAATTCAGATCACCACTTTGTTGCTTGCTGAGAGAAATGGCATTCTCTACTTTGATTTGGACAGTGGAAAACGACAGAAAATGGAATATGCAATGTTAAGATACAAAGCTTTGTTGGCTGATGAAAGTGACTATTTCGAGCGTGGAATACTAAAGATGGTCCCCGCTAAGGATCCATATCACCGCATAAACTGCCTGCGTCAGTTGGTGCAATATTGCCAGCTCGTTGCTGACATGGAAACAAAAGCACATAGAAAACAGGAAAAATACAAGGAAGGTCGAAAAGAAGCAAAAGAACTTTTGAAAATAATCAATGGGCGGGCATACCATAACAAAGCAATATCATATATCACTATTGGTGACCTAGAAATGACCCAAGTTGAGTTTGGTACTCGTCATCTAAACGATGCTATTGGTATGTATCATCAAGCACTGGAACTTGAAGAGAAAAAACTGCCGCAGCACAGCCGTAATATGTTAAAAGCTCTTTATGGGTTGACTAGGGCAATGTTCCTTCGCTGTGATAGCAAAAATGAAGATTGGGTAAAGGCAAAGGACTATGCTATGAGATTGATCGAGATTTGCGAAGAGAGAAACATTAAAACTGATCTTAAAGGACAGGCACAGAATCTTCTTAATGACATGCAAGTTGGAGCATTTGAAGCAGATTCAAGAGTATAAGGATAATTCAAGTCAAACTGAAGATGGGTCTTATAAGCCACTCTATTTATATTGTTAACAATTTTAACAATTAATCTTAAGAATTATGTTTTATACAATTATATCCTGAACAAAATGCTGTTTGCAGTATATTGGGTGTCCCAAAAAAAGTGATACGCATTTTTGACAAGTATTTTCTCAGCAGTAGATAAGCAATAGATACTAATTATCCCATCGAACGAAGTTTGGATTGATATAGGGAATGCTTCCGTCCATCCATTCGTCAGCCATTGCTTTTCGATGGCATTTACTACCCTTGGGCATTGCTGTTGTCTAGTATTTTAATTGAAGAACTATAGGTATCATTATCCAGTGCTATAAATATGAGAGATTGCACAAACGCTATGGAGGGCTCATTGCGCAGCTCTGCTATTGGATTTCTTGACATGAATTTTTGAATTTGTCATTACTCACATAATATATAACCGATCTCTTTTATATTTGTACTACTTGCTGATGATACCCTTAGGCCAATGTACAGGAATTTTCAATGAAATTGAGGTATGTATTACAGCGAAAATGCTTGTTAAAAAGTGGCTCACTTTTTTGGGACACCCAAATAGTCTAACTTTTAATACAAAACATAACCACATGTCTTTCATTTAATGTTATATTATGTAATCTTCCAAAATAGTCTAGTTTCAAGCCTTTGGGTACTCCACTTATTAAAGTTAAACCTATGCATCCGACCACCAAAACACCTCTCAATATGAGCGCTATCTTTCTATCTAAGTGGAATTTACATTGAAATCAAATGTAAACCTCTCAGGTCTCAGGTCAGTTAATGCAAGGGGGGGGGGGGGGGGCTCAGACCTCCCTCAAGCCACTCTCAGAAATGTTGAAGCTACGTGTACTTCTGATGGTAAAGTACATGTAAGGCTATTTTAAAGTATTTTCATCATTCCAAGTCAGAGTAAAAATAATCTTGTCCAGTTGCTATATTATTTCTCATTGCTAAGATCCAATATTACACCAGTAGGAGAGATAACTACATGAACTACCTGAAAGTATTAAAAAATAGTAATCAAATAAGGTAGCACACCCTTGTAACCCGAACAAAACAAAAATGTAAAAAACAATAGTTAAAGTAACTTTGTAACATTTCTAATTATAGTTCACAACTTGCAGAGTGATAGGAATAATTAACATGTGTTATCATTTAATAATACTGTTTATAACCTACCTATGATGATGTATAGTGCAAAGTGTACACAAGACAGCGGGCCAATATAAGTTTTGAAAAGCCCGCGCCCGCTAACTTTCTGATTGGTCAAGGCGCTGACGTCATAACCAATCAATCGAAGATAAAACTGCGCGAGCAATTTTTCTAAACTCATTTCAATCATTTTCAAACCATTTGTTTGTCAATTCTATAAGAAAACGGTACTCTCTGACCAGTCTACATCATCATAGGTATGTTATAAATCGTTTATGTCACTATCATGGCACATATGCCCTCGGTTCTCAGAGATCAATGTCCCTCCCAAGGTCGGCCAATATATCACCGAGACCTCGGGCATATATGCCACAATAGTGACATAACCTCTAAATATGTTATGTATAAATCTCTTAACACTCAATGACATGTATTGGAATATACTTAAAGATTTAAACCCTGGTCTCAGTACCATGTGGAATGACCCTTGAAGGCGTTGTTTCCCAAAATTTACACGAGATGCGGTCATTACACAAATGCATTGACTCTTGGGCTTATTTTTTCACAAATTACAAAATATATTTACAAAATCATCTAAGATACAAAATCACTATAACAATATTTTTTCAATGACATCTTTTGCAAGGGTCAGGTTGGCAAGGTATCACTTGAAGTTTGTAGAGTCCAGTTGTCACCTTGACAACCGTTACCTAGACTTGGTTATTGGTTATATAATTGAATGCAGTTATGTTGAATAGCGTATTCTGATTGGCTGGACTCAGACACACCTTAAGCTTATCTTATGCCTACCTATGTGTGAATGTATTTTAATAGTATGTTACTGTACAATTTATTTATGCATGTATAGGATACCGGTGTAACACAATCTATAATAATATTACTAAATACATATAAATAAATACAAATGCTAAATACTGTATTTGTTATTATTTGACAGAGTTTACTTGATATATACACTTTAAATGATATATTTAAGCTAAAACTACTCATAGAAAGCCAAATTCTTCAAAATACTACACGTTTATAGTCTTCTATCTAGGCCGAGAGTTCATACAGATCGGATCTGTATTTGTATACAAAAGACAATTCAGTTACAAGCTTGACAAAATGGATTTCTGGCGTGTGTAAGGGCCTATATAAGCTGAAGCCCTATGTTATTCAAAATCATTTACTCGTTTATAAGTTCAACATTTCTAAGTCTGCCCCTAATGGTTTCAGAAACACAATTTCGATATTACTACAGTGACTGACTCAGCGCAATGTGGAATGACCATTCCTTGAAAGTGCACTGTTGCTTTCCAAAGTTTGCACGAGATGCGAAGCATTGAGGGTTAATTTTAGGAAACAGTGCCTGAAAGTAGTGGTTATTACGCAATGCATTGAGTCCTTTCACACATTGCAAAATATTTTTTTACAAAATCAACTAAAACATATATATTTTCAATGATACTTTTGCAAGCATCAAACTGACAAACTTCAAAGTCATAGATTCACCTAGTTAAAGTTATGACTCGGTTAATCGAAATGTTGAGAGAAACTTCATACTCATAGATGCATCAGTTACAGTTATGACTCAGTTATTCGAAATGCTGAGATCAACCTCGTATTCATAGATGCATCAGTTACAGTTATGACTCAGTTATTCGAAATGCTGAGATAAACTTCGTACTCATAGATACATCAGTTACAGTTATGACTCAGTTATTCGAAATGCTGAGATAAACTTCGTATTCATAGATGCATCAGTTACAGTTATGACTCAGTTATTCGAAATGCTGAGATAAACTTCGTATTCATAGATGCATCAGTTACAGTTATGACTCAGTTATTCGAAATGCTGAGATAAACTTCAGTATTCGAAATGCTGAGAGAAACTTCGTACTCATAGATGCATCAGTTACAGTTATGACTCAGTTATTCGAAATACTGAGATAAACTTCGTATTCATAGATGCATCAGTTACAATTAAGATTCAGTTATTCGAAATGCTGAGATAAACTTCGTATTCATAGATGCATCAGTTACAGTTATGACTCAGTTATTCGAAATGCTGAGATAAACTTTGTATTTATACATGCATCAACTGCAGTTATGACTCAGTTATTCGAAATGCTGAGATAAACTTCGTATTCATATGCATCAGTTACAGTTATGACTCAGTTATTCGAAATGCTGAGATAAACTTCAGTATTCGAAATGCTGAGAGAAACTTCGTACTCATATATGCATCAGTTACAGTTATGACTCAGTTATTCGAAATACTGAGATAAACTTCGTATTCATAGATGCATCAGTTACAATTAAGACTAAATTATTCGAAATGCTGAGATAAACTTCGTATTCATAGATGCATCAGTTACAGTTATGACTCAGTTATTCGAAATGCTGAGATAAACTTTGTATTTATACATGCATCAACTGCAGTTATGACTCAGTCATTCGAAATGATGAGAGAAACTTCGTTCTCATGGATGCATCAGTTACAGTAATGACTCAGTTATTCGAAATGGTGAGAGAAACTTACTACTCATAGATGCATCAGTTACAGTTATGACTCAGGTATTCGAAATGCTGAGAGAAACTTCGTACTCATAGATGCATCAGTAACAGTCATGACTCAGTTATTCGAAATGCTGAAACTTCCTACTCATAGATACATCAGTTACAGTTATGACTCAGGCATTCGAAATGCTGAGAGAAACCTTGTGTTCATAGTACAATTATGACTCAGTTATTCGAAATGCTTAGAGAAACTTCGTTCTCATAGGTTTATCAGTTATTCGAAATGCTGAGAGAAAGTTCTTACTTTATCTAAAATGTCCTGCCATCGTTGCGACAAATCAGTTTTTACTTTCTTGTTATATTCACGCATTCCATCAGACACTTTCCTCAGATCAGTGGTTTCTAGTTTCATGATCAGATCTTTGTACGTATCGAAGTAAACAATATGTGGCCACTGGTAAAAATCTGAGTACTTCAGCCAATATTTTATGGCTTCGAGGTCTTTGTCATTATTTGGGTCTGGAACATTGTCTAGTACGCCAGGAATTATGGATTTGTCAGGGATTGTGCCGAAAACTGAACTCCAGGTTCGCTCGTTTAGGACATTATAGGTCAGTTGCCAACTAGAAAGTAAATCGAGAGAGGGGAAAAATAAAGGAACGTTCATTCTATATTGCTCAAACAGGCTCATCACGGATACTTGATAAGGTACATACACAATCCCTTGATGGCTGGCTAGATCACTGTATTCATAGTGACCATAGAGCGTACGAAGTGGAGTCAGACTTACATTGGATTCTTCTTTTGCCTTGTTGAATTCATCTAGGAAGATCTTTTCGAATCCAGCTTTGTGAACAGGACTAAGAAGATAACCTGGCCGAGTGGGGTTGTATTCAGAGTCAACATACCCACAATAACTTGGTAAAAGTGTTGGGGTAATTCCTGTGAAATAACGCACATACTCCAGATCATACTGGTTATTGGCTCCTACTGTATTTTGTAGCTGCTCTGAAATACGTTTTAAATTCAAATTCCATGCATTCCAACGGTCCTTAGCGTGTCTGCCCATCTCGAAACGTGTGGATGGTATAACAATAATAGATTTGTTGAATGGCATGAAAATTTCGCACATGGCTGATGGATGGAAACATACAAATGCGTCCACCTTTTCCATTTCAGGGTCATCCTTGTATGCTTCATAAAACTCTGTATAGATGGCGGGTCTGTCCAAGTTAATGCCATTCCCCTTATTCAAAACTTTCAAATCTGTTGCACAGGTTTTTGTGAGATGACAATGCCCAGACAGGCTTTTATCAATGAACGTAACACCCATTGCTCCCAAGAAAGATTTGAGGTCCTTTATGGGACTTATATGGAAATCGTTGCTCCAAATTATAATTGGTCTAGTTTTTGTTGAAGTTGGAACAACCGTCGTTTCTGGAGCTTTGGCAGAGGATAAGTTTGTACATTCTGGTGGTAGTTTATCGAGATGTATTATATCAAGGTCTATTTGTCTTGGAATGTCATATTGGTCATAAACCCCGCCAACGTGCTCTTTACCGTTTCGGGCCACTGGAAACGGATGTGAGCTAGTATACTTCTTACATGATACACTATCATGGCAGTAGAAGTAATCTTTTGCCTTTGGCCAAACCACATTATTCAAAAAGTTCATATCCTCAAGGTACCTCGAACCATATTTTGATGACAACTTGCTCCATGGTTTATCAAATATTTTCAAAATATCTTTAGGCTTACCTCCAAATGTCCCCCCGCTGAGGGGGAAATAACCGTGACTAGGATGATCGCGAATACAGTGGAAGGGTTTGTCTGTACGTAACCACGCCTGTACTGTTGCTGCATCACGCTCCGTAAGTCGACTATCCGCATCTCTCACTATAAACCGTTCGATTGTCAAATCATCTGCGACCATGAAACGCCATATCATTGGTGCTAAGGTCACATTCTGTGTATTCACCTCAAATAAATCCACGCCCAAGTCAACCAACTTGTCTAGAATATAATCAGGAACTTTAGTGTACTTATGCTGAATATCAGCTTTTTCAATATAGATCCTGAGAGTCCATTCTGGGAAGTTGATCTTTGCAAGTTGAGCGTTTCTTATTGCGCCATAGGTATATCTCTTGGAGTTTCCCCATAAACTCATTGAAATGATCCAATTTTTCCTTTTACTTTGTTTAGATTTCAAGCTATGTGTATAGTGTTCTAACACCGGTTTGTTTTTGATTACCAACGATTTGATTATGACTGATTTATTGATGAGTTTCAGATCATGTTCAGCACTTAAAGCACTTGATGTTATAGGAATGTTTGACGTGTAATTCGGATAGTAAAGATCATAGATCCAATGATCGACATCTGAATCCATTATATCTGGTGGAAACACAGATCCAAATATGTCCATGTGAGTTTTGTGAATAAAATAGGACATTTCTTGACATTTCCGGAACTCCTGTTTACAATCAAAAATAATTCCAACTTCTTTGTCCTTGCGATTGCGTAATTCTTTTATATACACTTCTGTCCAGTTCTGTGATGTTGACAAAAACGTCTGATTATCAGTTATTTTGTAAATGTACGATGCCCCTGATAAATAAGCTATGTACATGATATCATTAAGGCCCCGACCTCCGTGTCTTTGGTTATCAATATTTGGGACGATTCGAATACCTACGTCAAACGTTTTAGAACAATCTTTAAAATTAGAGTGAAATATATCCTTGATGATTTCATGCACTGTTCCATTTTGTTCTGCGATATATATCGTATAGGTGATACCCAATGATGCCGTTTCACAAAACGAAGTTAAGAAATTTTGAAAAAACGGTATCGTTTCAACAGTTTTTCCTTTATGCAGATTACTTGCTGAACAAACCAGCGCTATTTCCAGTTTATCCGTCTTTCTGCCATAGCTTTCGGTGGCTTTTGCTAAAAGTATTGTTGGATTCTCTGCTATATGGATTCCCTCTTGTGCTTTGGCCTTATTGTACGCTCTGTGTATTCTCAAAGCTTTCATAAAGTGTAGTATCAAAAGGATCACCACCCCTGCGACTAGAATAGCAATGAGGGTCCTACGTGGCCTTGGCCTCATCCAGCAAATATTCCTAATCATGTCAATGTAGCAGGCTACCAAGAGCAGTGCTATGTTTTTGTATCCTTTTTGTACCTCAATCTAAATACGTATTCTGGGCACACATGTGTGCAAAATATAATGAGTTTCACTGCTTCATATCCGAAATATTATTAATTTATTTTTACGATGCAATTAACTTGTCTCAATATTGATAGTCTTACGAACAGTGGTTAGAACGTTTGATTTAAATTTCTAAAGCTCCTTAAACTAAAGGACGGTATTTTTCATTAACGTCTCGCTACATAAAATAGTTTTTTTTGATAAATTTAAGTCACAACCTTAGAATAGACATTTATATGCTGTTAGAGTCAAATTTACAATTCAAATATTTAGTGTTTTTTATGGCGAGTTACGCTTCCTGCCTCTGAATAGTGATTCTCTACTGAGTAATACTGTTTCCATAGTTACGTGCAATATAAACTGCACAAGGTTGCTACACAATATTATGATAGCTTTATTGCGTAAATTACCTTGTATAAAAACATTATTTTCCGAGTCAAAAAACATAGGCTGCTAAATATGTGAGTTTGAAACTATTATACTATTCTAGAGTATATTCACATATTTTTACAAGGCGGGCAATAAATATTCATCCCTTACAGTAGAAAATGTGGCACATTTGGCGTTAACATGGTTTTTCAACATATAGTTTTTGATCGGCTTGGTTGCTGCAAAAAAATTGTGAGGCTGGCTTGGTGCATTGATGGGCTATAGGAGACACTTAAAGTCATATAGTTTGATGGACTTACCCAATTTACTTAAGCAATAGGTGAAGCCATAGTGCTGGTGATCATTATCCAAGCTCTTGCCCTAGCCAGCTTTTACCAAGAGGGTGAGCTTTTGCCAAGCGGGAGCTTGACATTTTGGCGAAAAATCACGCGAAATGTGCTCAGAATGGTGAAAAACTGCATGATTTTGAACAGATTGAACACGCCTTTTTTAACTTACCGGGACGGCTATTACGTTCGCTCTTTTGATGTATCAGGTACACCACATAACAGATTTCATAAAAGATGGCAGAGCTGCAATTGGTGATGAATAATAGCTAGTAAAATCTACCTTTAGGTTTGCATTAAGTGCACAATGAGATCCCTCAAATCTTGTAGGTTTGTCAGGTTTCTTGGTTAGTTGTATTGAACGATTTTGCGATCTCATGTTTTGTCCAATGTAATTGTTTAATGCCCTCATGTTTTGTCCAATGTAATTGTTAATGCCCGCCAGCCACGAGTCTTTCGAGGCTACCGCCCCACCAATTGTGTATGAAAATATAAATTCATTTTTTTTCAAAATTGCTGTTAACATATATTTCTTTTGTCTTTTTGTATTTTTGCCTGTCTTGTTTTGCCTATTTAAAATTGTCCACATATTTGTTTAACCTATTTAAATTTGCCTATTTTAAAAATTGATTTGTGCCTACATAGTTTTTCTACACATGCTTAACCTGTTCAAAATTGCCTATTTTAGAAATATATAGTTTGGCCATTTAATTCTTTACTCACATATGTTTAAATTTGCTTCGCCTATATATTTAAATTGCTTTGCTTATTTAGATTTTTAGAAATTCTTGTTTTGCCTATTTAAATGTGTACACATTTTGTCTATTTGAATTTGCCTTGCCCATTTCCCGACCCTGAGTCGTGTAACTCCGCTAACCATCACATATATAAGAGTTATGTAATTGGAGGCTTTGGATATGGGGTTTATCCAGAGGGAGAATTTTCATAATTTTTTCAATATTTTTTTCAAGTTTCAAATTTTTTTTTTCAAAATTCTTTTTTCAATGTTTTCAAATTTTTCCTCAATTTATTTTGCAAAGCTGGGAGATATGCCCTGGAGCGGGAGACATGACGTGAGATATAGAGGTTCTGGATATGGAAACCTCAAAATCAGGATACGGGATATATCTTACCAACTTATCACCCTAAAACTCTACTGGGCATAGGATAAAGTAGTATTTTCAGGATTTTGTAACATTTATGTCACATAGTTATACACATTACAGTATCTGAGTATATAAACCACTGTTTGATATTCTGAACACTCCCTGAAAATCCCCAAATTGCAAAATTTAGAAAAATTTTCCGAATTAAATTATTACATTTTATGTCACATCCGCAAATGATTCCACATTGTTATAGTCTCCACTTTTTGTGGACGGTGTTCGGCGTCTGTAACAAATGGCAGGCGGTGACATTTTGCATGTTAATGCCTGGTTGAGCCATGGCAATCTGTGTGTAATTCAACAAGGAGACGTTCACGTGATATAAGTATCATACCGGTGTAAAAGGGTTGGTGGTCCTATCAAAATGTTTGCCCTACTCTCTTTCTCTTATTATCTTATACACAATCAGGGCCGGTTAGCGCCTTTAAAAGGGAGACCATAATTCCTGGGGGACCATAATTTCTTTCACATCGGGTTCAATTCTAACTTATGTAGAATCTTGCGACCCTTCAAGGAAGAGAATGTTTGACCACTCCAATAGCCTTGCCCAAGTCTGAATTATATTTTATTTATCTTTATTATATAAAAAGAAAATAATTATGAAAATAAAGTTTAAAAAATAAAAGACACAGCCTTCGGTAAGGCTACCCCTCCAGGAAAGGAGAGGAAACTGTCGCAGTTTGTACTTTACCCTTTTCGTTGATATGAGATACACAGATCCAGGTTAGTTCCGTGTTTGAATTCAACCTGAAACACTATTAATCATCACGCTAGATCTCGTCCTAGAACTTTTAGTTGAGTAATATAAGATAGATCATCGTAAAGATTGATAGACGTACTTTTTTAGTAATTTTAGTAATTTGTTTCCCATCAACATTAAAAATGACTTGTAGTTTTGATTAATCGTTGTTCATCTAGTATTGTTTTTCAATGTCAGGTATTCGTTTGTTTATGCGATTAATGATTCTGATTTTTCATTTTTCAAATAATCTACGTACTTAAGGCATTTGACCTAGGCCTTCTACATTAGAAGCCTATAACACATTATATAAAACGTTTATATAGACCCATACTTAATAAAACATAGTTTTAGGTGACACTTTGGCCTCCTTATGACTGGCTGGGGTTGGCGTCACATAAATCGTGTCATCACACATCCAGGTAAACCACTTACCTGTTGCTGCAAACTTTCCACGAAATGCGCACAATGGGTTGGGTCTCTGGGCTTCAATTTTTTCACACATTGGAAAATGTTTTCTATGATATCACTTAAAAGATACGAAATCACTTTAAGAAATTATTTCAAAGGATAGAACGCATCAAGTTGTCAAAGTATCAATTTCAATCTGTTGAGTCAAGTTGTCACCTTGACAACCATTCAACACCAACCATTTGATCGGCTTATTATCGGATTCACTAGTTTCAGTTATATGTAATTCATATATATATATAAAAGCATGTTCTTAGTGGCTAGAATTGAACACACCTTGCCAAGCTATGTGTGAATTTGCGGCCATTTTGAGTTCTTTAATGAAAATTACAAAAATCACTGTATTTTTTAATCTCAGTTTTTAAAAATGTCCAGGGGGGTTCACATTTGACAATATTGGACCACATATGGCTAAAATCACTCGAGAAGTGCTCAAAGTGGTGAAAAACTGCATGATTTTGAAAGAATTTTTGACAAGGGGGGGGGGGTGTTCGCCCGAACCCTGCGAACCCCCCTCCCCCTGGCTACGGGCCTGTTCAGCACCCCATGACGAAGGACTGGGTGAAAATCACCGTTCATAGGCTGTCGTATGCCACACGACATCCTGATACCTTGACTTGCCGGTGTAAAAGAAATTGTGGTCCCCTAGGGATTATGGTCCCCTTTTCTTACGGCCCTTACTGGTCCTGACTGTGTATAAATAATGTAATAAGGAAAATAATTGTGATTAGGTCACCATATAAATCAATAGAGAGTAGGACCAAAATTTGATAGGACCACCTAACCTTTTACACCTGGGGGAGTTGTGCCATCTTTTGATGCTGGTGTTTTTATAGAATTTTTTGAATCCATTTTGTGTAGCACAACCAGTACATATTAAAAGTATTCTTTCGTTTGCAATGACGAATATACTGTGTATTGGACTGGTTGTGGGAAATCTTATTTTACATATTAATGACCAAGAATGCAGGTGATTTATTTAAATTGGAAAAAACGAAAGCTTAAACTGATAGCAAGCTGATAAAGGACAATTGTGTTTTCCAAAAAGTCTTTCAACGATTAAAGGGTTCCGATTAGCATCCCGTATAAAAACAATATGGCGGCTCCAGGCGAATCAACTGGATCAGTCCATTTTTAAGAAATAAGGGGAGTTCTGTAAAATCCAGTTTATTGAAATTGTCTTTGAGATAAAGAAATCCGTTTATAATGATTTTGAAAACGTTATCCAAAGAGTGATCTTGCGTTCAAAGAATACGTGTACAACAACCAATATAAATCCTTGTACTAGAAACCGGTTTGTCTTGCTTTGTTTCATTTGTAGAATATTTCATATTCCAAGCTGTGTGCTATTACGTTATCGGGAAATTTAGATGCCAATTTTTCCTTATTATACACAAATAGAAGATCCTGAAACTTCACCCATAAATGTGGAATTGATTTGTCAAAATAAAAATCACCCTTTTATAAATGTGTGACGATCTATAATATACTTAGTACCCCGGACAGGTTGTATGATGCAGTCGTTTTTTTACTCTATATTTGCAATAGAACAACCATTCTTATTAAAATTTTCATATTTTGTTCTGGAGACAATTTCCAACATGGAAAAAAATATTTTAACGAAATTCCCAATTTTATGATTTTGACGGGCTTTTTTCAAAAACACTACACTGTCAATAAAATACAGGTTTTGCTTGAACAATTGAACTTTTAATGTCATTTCAAAGATTGTCTAGTTATTGAATTTTTGGCTGCCTAAAGACTATCCAGTATTTGGTGCCATTTTAATTATGGCTGATTATTGTTATTCATTTTTGTCACATTCAA